TCTTCCTTCCTGTTGTGTAACACATGATTCCGGACCAGGTTAGGGCTCCATACTTGTGAATAAGGCAAATCTGGAGGTTTCCTACATATTTAAATCAACACATAGTGTGATCTTAAACGGAAGCAAGCTTAGGGGCTCCTATTCATACTCTTCCCTCAGCAAGAGCCTTTCTGGGGAAGGCAGGGGAGGACTGAGGCAAAGGCGAACCACCTCACAGCCAGCGGAGGGTAGACCACCAGAAGTCAAACGAGCAGCGGAAGGGAGTAATTCGTTTCTGCGACACACTACCCAAAAATGCCAAAAGCCCCTCACCGACCAGCCTCTGCGTCCTCTCAGCAACGTCGTTACCTCCTCAAAATACAAACTCTGGCGCCAAATCCCGTCCACGCATGCGCAGCTGCGGCAATGGCGCCTTTGCTAGCGCGAGTTCAGCCCAGGCGAGAAGATTCGTACCGAAGCGCAAGCGCCAATTCCCGCAGGAACGATGATTAGGTAAGAGGGATCTCGCGCCGCCGCTTCTCATTGGAGATTGGAGCGATCACGTGGCATTCAGAGGACAAAACATTGACCGTCGTGATTCACCCCGCGCTGTCCTCAGGGATCATGGGAAACGTAGTTCTGTAAAGGGGTTGGGCTTGCAGGTCTATTTCAGTGGATGATTTGAAATATCACCGTAAAATGATTCCTCTGAGAATGTCTGGGTGAACAGTGGCCACAAATTTATGTTTTAGATTCCCCTTACAAGGTCTTCAGGACTCTCAAGCAAGCTTCCTAAAGATTGCAATAATTTCTGTAAACCGTCTGATTGTAACTAGTAGAGTGTATTTTCATTCTGGGGTGGAAGCAGAGCACCCACGCTCATACGTGCAGTCTTAGTTGTGCATGCAGTACTGTACAGCCAGGGCTGATTCAATACTGTGGTTGGCCCTGAGCAAAAAATATAATGGGGAGGGGGGCTTTCTCCTCTCTCCCTCTCCTGTTTTGTTGTTGTTTAGTCGTTAAGTTGTATCTCACTCTTCATGACCCAGGCTCTCGTGTCTTCCACTGCCTCCCGGAGTTGGGTGAAATTCATGTTGGTAGCTTCGATTACACTGTCCAATCATTTCGTCCTCTATTGTCCCCTTCTCCTCTTGCCTTCACATTTTCCCAACATCAGGGTCTTTTCCAGGTAGTCTTCTCATGAGAAAGCCAAAGTACTGGAGCCTCAGTTTCAGGATCTGCCCTTCCAGTGAGCACTCAGGGTTTATTTCCTTCAGAACAGATAGGTTTGTTGTCCTTGCTGTCCAGGGGACGAGTGGCCTTTTAGGCCAGATGGGCGGGGTATAAATCAAATAAATCAAACTCCTCTTGCCTTCACACTTTCCCAACATCAGGGTCTTTTCCAGGGAGTCTTCTCATCTCATGAGATGGCCGAAGTATTGGAGCCTCAGCTTCAGGATCTGTCCTTCCAGTGAGCAGTCCTTTCCCTTACCTCCTACCCAAATAGGTCACACAACATGAACAATGTAATATAACATAAATAAGGAGTAAATAAGTGGACAATGCTTAGGTAAAGAAACAACATAACAATGAAAAGAAAGTCCAGCTTACGACAAAGGGGTGAGGCAAGGGAAGCCTAAAGCTGAGCTTTGAGGCACTCTGCACATGCCCAGAGAAGAGGAAAAGGTGTGTACATCGTGTGCAGAACATGGTGAGGCTGCAATCCAGAGCATGCCTCATGTGGGAGGGAGGGAGGCTGTTGGGGTCGCAGGACACCAGGCTCAGGTGTGGGAAGAGGGAAAAGGCTGCAGATGCTTTGAAGGAACAGCTGCCGACACCACCACCCAGTGGAGGGAACTAGCGAGAAGAGTGCCTCTGAGCCTTGTGTGTCTGGCTGACCTTACCTCCCCCCACACACACCATCATCTGACCTCTGTCAGGAGATGTGGGTCTTGCTGAGGTGTTTGAGCTCCAGAGTGCTGTTGTGGCGGCAGGGGGTTAAAATGGTTGTGTGCACTTCCAGAGGCATAGTGTACTCATGAGCCCGCAAGACATCCTGGAGCAGGTCCTTGAGGTGCAGGAGGGCCCTTCTTGTTGGGCAGTGGTGCCCAGTAGCACTTCCCACAGGTTTGCCTCCTCCTCGTGCAGTGACACTGTCCGGCACAGGAAGATCAGCCACCCTGACTGCAGCTGCATAGCAGGCCATGGGGAGGGCAGGATGTGGATCATCTGCCCATCGTCCAGCCCCTGCAGCTTGCTGGCCAGGAGCACCACGTGCGTACACTGCACCACCTGCCACTTTGCCCTCTGAATAAAGTTGCTCTCTGAATAAAGTTGCTCTGAATGCAGCATGAACATCTTCAAGATGCTCATGCTTCCGAGTTCCCCATTATTTTTAGTCCATATGTTGTTATGTGCTGTCAAGGAGCTTCCAGCAACCCTATGAATGAGTGATCTCCAAAAGGTCCTGTCCTTAACTGAGCTGTTCTCAACTAATGTTTGTGGGTTCCTTAAGGAATTCAGTCCATCTCGTATTTGGTCTTCCTCTTTTCCTGCTGCCTTTCACCTTTCCCAACATTACTTTTGCAGAGAATCCTGCCTTCTCATTATGTGCTAAAACTAAGAGCATTTTCTTACCTCCAGAGGTAGTTCAGGCTTGATTTGATCTGGGGGGCCACTTGTTCATCAGATATACAAAACAGTAGGGAATGTGTGAAGAATAATCCTCCCTCTAGAGTTATAATGATGAAGATAATACTCTTTAATTTTTTCCCCTTTAATACATTTCTCCCTGCACAGTCTTATCTAATCCAGGGAATTTTGTTCATGCATTTTAGCTGACAACATGAAGTAGGGAGAGGACACCGTTTCTAAGAACAGGTGAAAAGAAAAAAGAGCTTCATCTCAAAATAAACTTTTTTCCTATACAGACCATAACCTTAATCTCAACACCGTTTCCCCGAAAATAAGATGTAACCTGAAAATAAGCCTTAGTATGATTTTTCAGGATGCTTGTAATACAAGCCCTACCCCCAAAATAAGCCCCAGTTAAGTGAAACCCCACCTCCACCATTGTGTAGCAACCAGAAAAAGATATGACTTTATTTGAACAAATGTAAATTGTTGTACATAAAAAAAATATCCCCTGAAAATTAAGCCATGATTTTTGGGGGCAAAAATTAATATAATATATTTTTGTGAAACAGGGTAGGTGGCTTAGTATGTGCTGTGGAGTAATTCACATGATTGTAAGGATTCACATGTTGTTGGGAGTTTACTTTGATTACTGTGAATATTCCTTGGAGTTCTGCTTTTTAAAAAAATTCTGGATCTGATCAAAGGATATGAACATTTCTTAAGGTTTGGTGATGGTTCCCCAAGTGTATATGTCACCTGTATGAATACGTCTAAGGGAGAATACCATGTCAGTGGTGGATCTATTTGCTCGGAATCCGCACTGTGATTCTGGATAGACTGTCTGCAAGCACCTGGAGCCTCTTCAGCACAACACGGGCAAGCAGCTTCCCTACAACGCTAAGAAGAGAGATGCCACGGTAGTTATTGCAGTCGCCCCTGTCACCTTTGTTCTTATACAATGTGATGATGTTTGCATCCTTCATGTCCTGTGGTACTCCAGCTTCCCTCCAGCAAAGACGGTTGCAGGAGAAATGCAGGGAACAACAACAGCCACTCTTAGTGGCCTTCATAGACCTTACAAAAGCATTTGACTTGTTTAGCAGGGATGGCCTTTTCAAAATGCTTCCTAAGATTGGATGTCCTCCTCGACTCCTTAGCATCATCAGGTCTTTTCATGAGGGAATGGAGGGCACTGTAGTTTTTGATGGCTCAACATCAGATCCCTTTGACATCCGAAGTGGAGTGAAACAGGGCTGTGTCCTCGATGGGAAACCCTAACATCTGAACGTTCAACCTGGAGGCATGCGGTGCATCACGGCCTCTCCCAATTTGAAGAGACCCTCGCCCAGCAGGCTGAGGCAAAGAGGCAGTCACAAAAGCAGCAAAATCAGGGAGCTAGACGGGGTACAGATTGCATTTGTCCTAAGTGTGGAAGGGATTGTCACACTTGAATTGGCCTTCTCAGCCACACTAGACGCTGTTCCAAGTCCTCCATGCAGAGCACGATACCATAGCCTCTCGAGACTGAAGGATGCCTATGATGATGATGAATACGTACAGCATGAGAACATGGGAAACTGCCTTGTACTAAACGAGTTTCTCCATTTCACTGTTTTGTAGACATTGACTGGCAGTGGTTCTCCAGAGTTCCATGCAGGATTCTGCCCCAGGGCTATGGTGAGGCTTGAATCTGGGATATTCTATACGCAAGCAGATTTTGTACCACAACTTTTTGTTAGATTTAGGGTGCAATTGGATGGCCCATTTATCTCATCCTGGATTGGTCTAGATTACGCTAAACTGAGTTGCTTGGAGGTGTGGAATATAATATGGAGTCATCTTTGTCTCCACAAACAAGGATCAACCACATCATAGATCAAGTGCCTCTCTTTAGCAAGATCTAGAATGATCTTCTTTTTCTTTGAAAGAAAACAAAACAAAAGCAGAACAAAAATTTTCCTCTTGCCTCCTGCTCCGTGCTTTGCCTAAACTGCTTAAAGATACAGTATTAAGAAATTGAAATCTTCCTTCCCTCTCACCCGGCGAGAGGAAGTTGTACTTTTGTTTTAATTGTTGCACAGTACATTAATAATGCATTAGCAACTATTTTTTTAAAAAAATTCCTATCCTTTCCCCTCTTCAGGGAAGGAAAGTTTAAATTTCTCAAAATTGTTAAGCTGCTTAAGCAAGTAAACAACTTAAGTCACTCACTTTGGTTTGATCCCAGGTATCATATACATTGGAACCAAATCAAAATGGAAGATTCTACCCACACGAGAAAAATATTAATCCCTTGAGGGATTAAAAAAGATGCAAGTAGGCACTGAACAAGGCAAGTTTGCTCATGCTGGCACATATGTTACCTTTGGATTATACATCTAAGAGTAACTTTCCAGGCAAAATCCATCATGCCATGAATTTACGGACTGTCATGTCTTCACACTTGTTAAGTCTGACAAAGTGGTGTTTTAATCCACAAAACCCATGTATTGTATGATGATGTTTATGTGGATTATAAAGGTATTGCCTGCAGTATTGTTATTGTAGGGCAGATTTGTATTTCAAATGACGGAGTACAACTTATTTTTCAGTAACACATGGCTAGCCAGCATTGGAAAACATTGTTAAAAAATCTGGTAGTATTGCACTAAAAAAGTAAAAAAAAGAAAAAAAAGAACAAGGCTTGAAAAATGTACCCTTAAATATTTTACACATCTGTAAAATACAAGACCCTCATGGTAAAGTGGTTAAACTACTGTACTGCAGCCAAAATTGTGCTCAGGACCTGGGGTTCAATCCCAGGTAGACAGCTCTAAGTTGACTCAGCCTTCTATCCTTCTGAGATTGATAAAATGAGTACCCAAATTGCTTGGGGGGTCAATGTGTAGCCTGCAAAATTGTAAACCACCCAGAGAGTGCTTGAAGTGCTGTGGGGCAGTATATAAGCAGCTTGCTTTTATTTGTTACTTTCATTTCCCACATGGATTATGGAATGCTTGCAGAGACTGTGATTCCTCACAGTTGTCCCTCAGAGCTCTCCACTCCCTTTTCTTCCTCACAAACACAATACTTTTTAATGTCCACCTCAAGTATCTAGCTAGGAAATATCAAGGGTTGAGTCAACAAGACTGTGAGAGAACGCTGGGAAGAATAATGGTGTCGTGGTGGGGAAAAGGCAAGACATTGTGGCACTTTAAAGACCAACAATTTATTTCAGTATGCACTTTCACAGATCAAAATCCACTTCTTCAAACACACAGCACATTCCCAGTACAGTATTTATTCTCATGATGCTGAAAGTCATATCCAGGTGAGGATACAGATAATAGACGAAGTGACAATGACTGGTTAATACTGTGAGAAGACAGATATGTAAGTTCCACTGAAAACAGGGCGTATTTCCAAATAACTATTAATGAATAGGTCCCCACTTCTTCAGAGAGTGGGAAAGGATATTTATTGGCTGAAATCCTGTTGTTTAGCATAGTAAGTCATAATTAGAGTAGGCCCATTGAATCAGAGGGAATTAGGTCAGTCAGCTTCTCTGTAAGCTCCACTGATTCAATGGGCCTACCTCTACTGGCAACTTACGCCTCTAAGCAACAGGATTTCACTCATTAAGTGGGACTCCATAGACAAATATTAATTCCTTAACTTTTTACACCAGGTTTGTTGAATTAGACCACAGAAGCTTGTGCTTTCTATCATGTGTGCAAACACTTAAGCATAACAATGCGATGTCAACCAGCTGTTTACTAAATCTGAAAAAGTGAAATACCTATGTAAAATACTGTTCCTTTGTAGTAAAAGTATTTAGGCCAGTATTCTTAACTTCCTGCAAGGTAACACTCATCCGCTGAAATTCAGTAATAAGTCACAACTAGAGTGGGTCTGTTGAAGCAATGGGCATTATCAGGTTCTTACTGATGCAGTGTTGTTTAGTCGTTGTGTCCGACTCTTTACTCATCCGCTGAAATCCAGTAGTAAGTCACAACTAGAGTAGGTCTGTTGAATCAATGGGCATTATCAGATCCTTGCTGATGCAGTGTTGTTGTTTAGTAGTTGTGTCCGACTCTTCGTGACCCCACGAACTAGAGCACGCCAGGCCCCTCCTGTCTTCCACTGCCTCCCGGAGTTGGGTCAAATTCATGTTGGTACTGATTCTGTAGGCCTACTCTAGATACAACTTACTACTAGATTTCAGCCATTCATTTAGCCATTCATTTCAATGGGCCTACTTACTTCTTACCTCGCAGGGAAAAGGTACTGTTACCGCAGCAAACTTCGGCATGAATGGGTCATAGTTCGCAAGTAGTTAAGCAGAGCAAGTCGTTTCGGGTGCATGAATACCCTTTTCCAATTCGGAGCGCGCTTTGAGCATCCGATCTCTTTCTTTTGGCTTGTAAACTCCAATCACATCTCAGTAGCCCTGAGCGGCGAACCAGTTCCACTAATTAACCGAGGGCGATGATTGCCCCTGGCCTGCAGCAATGAGCACCAATGAAAGCGACTCCCCTAAAGGGATATAAGCTAGAGCGGGCAGGGAAGGGGCTTAGAAGCAGCTGCCCCCCCCCGGGCCGCGATGGAGCGCTTCGTCTACCCGCCGTACAGCATCTACCAAGGCTATGGGAGCTCTTTCACCCCCAACCACAACGTGGCCCCCCGGCCCCCCTCCAAGCAGAAGCAGCCCAGCTGGAAGCAGAGCAAAAGCAGCAGCAACAACAGCCTCTCTCACTCCTTCAGGGGGAGCTTCTCGGCTCCGGCGCCGCCGGTCTCCTCGCCGGACTACTTGGACACCTACAAGCGGGCCCAGCTGAAAGCCCTGCTGACCCACGTCAGTCCGGGCCTCACCCCGAGGCTCCGCAAAGCCAACACCAAAGAGGTGGGGATCCAGGTGAACCCCCGGGTGGACGCCGCCGTGCAATGCTCGCTGGGCTCCCGGGCGCTTCAAGCCGTCCGGCCACACAGCCCCGCCGCCGGGCGCCTCGGCCGCGCCTCCCCGACGCCGACGCTGCTGCCGGGCGTTTACTCGCCCGTCCTCGGCCGTCGACTCTTCACTTTGCCCGAAGCGGCGGGGG